GAGACCGAAGGCTAAGTAGCCCCTGAACCATTCCATCATTCATAGGCTCGTGAGGAGGAGAGGCTGACTGGACATTACTTCCGCTTGGCACCGAACTGAAGGAGCAGAGGGACAAATGCTCTGGAAATAACAAGCAGATTCAGGTAGAGCCTGATCTGACAAAGACTGTTTTTCGCATTTACAATTTCTAATTTGACTCAACTAGAAGGAAACAGAGGGTGTCTCCATATTTCTCAGCGGTTTGAAGATTAGATTACTTGGATTTTGAACATTGCATGACATGAGCAAGAGTTACAGATAGATGTGTTTCATAACTTCTGTGAATGCATCTTCTTTTCTTGATTTAGTCTCGTTTCTACGTAGTTTTTACTTTGTTACTGATACTGTTATGTGATCTCTTGTTCTTTTTGTCAAAGGCCACAAAAATAGTATACATAAAAGCTATTTGATATACTACCACTGCCAATAAGTTCGTGGAATGGTCGCAAAGCGTAGTACGGGAATTTACTGCGAATATGTTTCAACAGTGTTTTCGACAGCTATATCAACGTTGGCAGACTTGCATAGCGGCCAACGGCAACTATTCTGAGGGCCGATGTGGATCTGCGTTAAGTGTATGTGAATATGTAAGATTTGAGGCTTTCATGGCGGTGACTGGGATTTGGCACCGTGTATATGTGGTGTTAACCGACGTTTCGGAGGAACGTATCGCCTCCATCTTCAGGGTAGAAGGAAAAATATAAGGATTCTGCAACCGGTTCTCACGGTCTCTTCGCTTGCAGAATCCTTATATTTTTTCTTCTACCCTGAAGATGGAGGCGATACGTTCCTCCGAAACGTCGTTTAACACCATATATACACGGTGCCAAATCCCAGAAGACTGCTTTCTGTATGTGAATACCTTGTAATATGAGGCGACAAAACCACATTCCACGAACTTAATGACTCTACCACGTATATCTGCTTGCAATATTTCCTTGCAGACAAAAAGGATGCCTGTCTCGGAGAAAATATTGCGTTCTTCTACGAGTACCTTGCGCTCCTGACTATCAACAGCCCTGAATTATCATTCGATAACACATGTGATTCTTCCACAACTTCTGTAAACCTGAAGGCCTTTTAGAGATATTTACTTAAACTGCATTAATGTAAAGAAGGGGTAGCAAAGAGGGGGGAGCGGAATGACGTAGAGTGAACAAAAAAAGAACGGTTGGGAAGCGCATACGGGAAAGAGAAGAAAATAACCGCGATGTGAAAGGATTAAAGAGAAGAAGGAGAAATAGGTTTATGATTTATTTTACGGCGGTCTCAATATCTCAGACAATACAGACAATATAGCGTCTAATTATATGATAACTGGCAAATAATAAATTGGAAAGGATTTGGAAGAACGCTGTAGTGCCCTATCGAGAAATTATCCTAGTATGTCTGGAAGAACTGAGGAAGACCAGGAAAACAGCAGTTAAGATAAGCGGTACCACGACCGAGACTGGAAACAAGGACCTGTTAAATACAAGTCTGTTAGCCTCCTCGTTGAAAGGGACAAGATACGAAAAATGTACTCTCCAGCAGAGACCAAACCTGCTCATGGGCTCAAATTCATAACCAAATGACGTGTATGTTTTATGTAATAAATGAACAGACTTTGGAATTCTTTTCAATTTATATTAAACCAGTGCGTGGGTAACAGAAAATTTGCATCTGAGTTTTCATGATAATTTTCAAAACCATAACAGAGGGTTACATTAAAATTGATATTGAACTAGGCTTATTTTGTTTCACATTCATTTAATACACAACCCCTATTTGACATTTGCTTCAATTGAACTTCATCAGAAATGATCCAACATCGCAAAAATTTGTAAGGCTTAGATAAGATATTATGGTATAGAACTTGTATCTGAAATTTTTTTTTGCGTGGTGTATATTTAGCAAAACACAATTCTAATTATTTCAGTCATATTATCCTTGCAATGATATATCTGTATATACGGTATGGGGGATCAGTAAGGTCTATGATTTATGCAATATCTTAAATTGCTTATAACGATTAACGGGGTGAATAATTCAAGCGTAAGACTACTGAGCTGTCGTGTAGTTGTCCAGTATTTGTGACACAGACAGCCAGACTCTAATGTAAGGCTTGGACATCTCTCGGTACAGAAATGAATGATGCAGTCGTGGCTAACCACCCAGGGTGACAGTGATTGGCGTATTGAATGTAGCGTCCAGTAAACTGCAGCCATTTTGAAGAGCAAACTAACAGTTAATTCACCCCTTGCATAGATAGGAATTTGTTAAGAGAGGTCGGAGTGTCTCAGGGTCACTGACCGGACATTTACGTAAATCTCTCGCATAACTCCAGCGCCTACGTTTTCAGCCAGATCTTTATTATGTGTCAAATTATCTCTGATAATGACCAATTCATTACACCGGTATTACTATACAGTGAGCATAGTAAATTCTCCGATTATATATATATATATATATATTGTGGGAA